ATCCCTAGTTTTGCATGCAATATTTGGCACCATTTGCAAAGAAGAGAAAAGAACGGAGACGACTCAATTCTTTCTTGGATCTCTTGTTATCCATAATAAATATTATTTTTGTACGTGTTTATCAAATCAAGTGACGTAAGAATACTAAAACGTATTTTATTTTGTATGCACTATTTGCAAATGTCGTCTATTCAGAATCAGAGATCAAACTAATCGGGGTTTATTAGAAGAAAAAGATAACGTACGGCTCAGCATAGGAAAATATTCTAACCGTGACTCCGAGAAAAAGTTTCTAAAACTCATTAGTCTAATAAAACGATATAACATTCCTAAATGACCCTTCAATATGACGTGACAAACGTGCACTATATTTGTATAAACATATCATCCTTCCATTCTAAAGTTTGGTTTAAACCGTCAATGTTAACTGGTCAGAGGCTGAACTTGACCACCTATGAAAATCGCTAACACAATATTCTGATGAATGGACGCGATAGTTCTTCTCAAATTCTAATTCACTTTCAGCATTCAACCATTCGTCCTAGAATTTAACATTAAATGTACCGAAATTTAATTGGGGTGGTTTTTTTTTTAACAAATGGAAGGTGTTGTTGGAAACAATGACAATGTCAATTACATACGATTTCATAAATTCTGTCTTTCTACCTGTACTTCACACAAAACATTTCTTCATATTTGGTGAATGATAGTTTTAAAAACATTGAATTGTTGTCTAATCTTACACACAATAAAAAACATCACTGGTCACCCCACTTATAAAAGTCAATGACTTTTGCATTGGTAATGACAGTAGTGATCATGTGTTACTAAAATGTTCCTGCAGAACGACCGAAATGGCGACTCTGATATTACAAGGATGGTCAATTCCCGATCAAACTGTTGCGACACGAATGCCCCCCACCTGCAACCATTAAGGACTGAGGAGTATTTGTTAGCCCAACATCATCTGTTGGCCCGGTAGACGGTTAGGACCATCTCGCATTCTCGCAACTTGAGGTCGAAACAGCGAGATCGCGACAACGCCACGGCTGTTCCTATTACTGTTCGTCCGCCGTCCGGCCGTTCTTAAATAATTCTTGTCCTCGCTATTTCTTGAGAAGTACCGTATGGATCTTTTCCTTCACAAATATCATATAAGCAGATATGGCCATCTTGGATTTTGACAGTTACCAAATGTTATCGCTACATTCTCCACTTGCTCCCTAGTTCTGTATTGTTCATTTTTGGGCTGTTCGCATAGAGGAAATGACCGACATGCAGCAAACCTTATGATAATAATGATTTGTTATCGGTATTTCTGAAGAAATACTGGATGGATAATACTCGTTTATATGAACATTCCATTTAATCCCTAGTTGAGTATTGTTTATTTTTGGAAGTGATTGGAAAACAAACTAGCCATCAGGCGGCCATTTTGGATTTTGACAGAAATAGCATTATTATCTGCATGCAGATATTTAAGGTAAAGACATTGAAATGAACTAGAGACCGCAACAAAACTGGTCGACTGAAACAATACTGCGGAATCTGAAATAAACTAGGGGTATGTCGACAGAATCATTTGTACTGAATCTGAAATAAAACAAGGGTATGTCGGCAGAACCAATTGTACGGAATCTGAAATAAAACAAGGGTATGTCGGCAGAACCAATTGTACGAATCTGAAATAAAACTGGGAGTATGTCGGCAGAACCAATTGTACGGAATCTGAAATAAAACAAGGGTATGTCGGCAGAACCAATTGTACGGAATCTGAAAAAAAAACAAGGGTATGTCGGCAGAACCAATTGTACTGAATCTGAAATAAAACCGGGAGTATGTCGGCAGAACCAATTGTACTGAATCTGAAATAAAACTGGGAGTATGTCGGCAGAACCAATTGTACTGAATCTGAAATAAAACAAGGGTATGTCGGCAGAACCAATTGTACGGAATCTGAAATAAAACAAGGGTATGTCGGCAGAACCAATTGTACTGAATCTGAAATAAAACCGGGAGTATGTCGGCAGAACCAATTGTACGGAATCTGAAATAAAACAAGGGTATGTCGGCAGAACCAATTGTATTGGATCTGAAATAAAACAAGGGTATGTCGACAGAATCAAGTGTACTGAATCTGAAATAAAACAAGGGTATGTCGGCAGAACCAATTGTACTGAATCTGAAATAAAACAAGAGTATGTCGGCAGAACCAATTGTACTGAATCTGAAATAAAACTGGGAGTATGTCGGCAGAACCAATTGTACGGAATCTGAAATAAAACAAGGGTATGTCGGCAGAACCAATTGTATTGGATCTGAAATAAAACAAGGGTATGTCGACAGAATCAAGTGTACTGAATCTGAAATAAAACAAGGGTATGTCGGCAGAACCAATTGTACTGAATCTGAAATAAAACAAGAGTATGTCGGCAGAACCAATTGTACTGAATCTGAAATAAAACTAGGAGTATGTCGGCAGAACCAATTGTACGAATCTGAAATAAAACTGGGAGTATGTCGGCAGAACCAATTGTACTGAATCTGAAATAAAACAAGGGTATGTCGGCAGAACCAATTGTACGGAATCTGAAATAAAACAAGAGTATGTCGGCAGAACCAATTGTACTGAATCTGAAATAAAACTGGGAGTATGTCGGCAGAACCAATTGTACTGAATCTGAAATAAAACAAGGGTATGTCGGCAGAACCAATTGTACTGAATCTGAAATAAAACTAGGGTATGTCGGCAGAACCAATTGTACGGAATCTGAAATAAAACAAGGGTATGTCGGCAGAACCAATTGTACTGAATCTGAAATAAAACAAGGGTATGTCGGCAGAACCAATTGTACTGAATCTGAAATAAAGCAAGGGTATGTCGGCAGAACCAATTGTACTGAATCTGAAATAAAACAAGGTTATGTCGGCAGAACCAATTGTACTGAATCAGCCCATTATCTCTGTATTGAATAATTGGAAACAAATTATGACGACTACAGACAACAGTTGTTTTTAAAATTTATTTTTGTATAGCACAACCAATTAAGACTAATGTTTGTTGTGTGTACTTCGGTTCGGTAAAAGAAGAGAAGATATTATGAAAATGTTTAAAACCTATAAATGAATGTGCTTGATCCCGGAGTTTGTGAGACCGCGTCGTGATATATATCATGTCTATATATAGTATAAGGATCAACGTAAATAAACTATCTACATGTAACTGACTTCAGTCCTATACGTACTATCATAACATCGACCCTGCAAACAACAACGATTTGCATGCAATACTAAATTCACACAAGCACTAAAGTAATTTCCGTATTGGGTTCCATCACTCATTCAAATTACTTACTAGTAAATGCAACCTTTGGCAATAAAGAATTCACATTTTCCCCACATCTCTGACGTTAGATTTCTGGTTGTTCCTTTCAACTAAGTTTGTTTCAAACCAAATCGAGACAGAATCAAGGCATTCCTACAATAGAAAGAGTTTAGAAAATTTCCTCTATTTCCGCTATTTGGCTTCTCTACAAAGACCCGTTATCTATACAACATCTATTCCTCTTTACACCAGAATGCTTCAGACCAAATTTGGGCAATGCCAATTTATTTCCACTGGAGGGGTAGGCTTAAAAATACTTATTTTTTTGGCCCTGCCCCTCTTGCCCCTGGGAACCAATATTTATACACCCACCCCACCCCCCCCCCCCCCAAGACCAACTAAATTGATTCCCCTTCACCCACGAATGTTTCAAACTATATTTGGAAAAAATCCTATGATTCCTACAGGAGGAGTATGATTTCAAAGAATTTGCTCCATTTCTCCTATTGGGCCCCAGCTCTCAGGCCCCAGATGGCTGGGACTCATTCTTTGTATAAAAATTTCCATTTCCCCCAAGGATTCTTCTGACCAAATTTGGCCAAAATCTATTCAGTCGTTCATGACTATTAGAAATTTGTATAAAAAATGAATGGACCGACGGACAGAAACGGCCAACCGCGGTATGGCATAAGCTCACTGGTCTTTAGGACAGCTCAGAATGTAAGAAGGTATGTTATCATTTTGTTTGGTTTAGATATGTGCCGTTATTGTCTTAACAGAGTTATCTACCTTCAATAAGCTATTGATGACTTCACAATACCACTTATGGGTTATAAGGTCATGATTCTGTCGTTGTTAGTGATGTCTCTATATACATATTTATAGGTAGAACAATCCTATGTGCCCACAAATTTCCTTATTATGGCTTAGAAATAAAAAATATTCTACAATTTTATCCTGAAGAAGCCCACATAGTTCGAACGAAGCCGGTCAACATATGAATAAATAAAAACACTATGTATCTCTGGCTTGTTGCGATTGAAAACCAACTCCTATCGCCCTGCATATTGATATGTATCACAGCAAGGGATAAAAGAAACCAACCACCTCTTAAATTGAAGGCGTTGACTTTATCTTGGTGTCGAATTTGATTATATTGTACAACAGACTTTAATATAGCAATATCTGCTATATCTGTGTTATTATTTCAAGAAAATGTGAACATAATTCATCAGTACATAACCATAATGAATGGTTCTGTATTATCTAATACGATAGCATTTTCACAATGAAACGGGCAAGTTGGCATCAATACACAGTCTGTGGAGTAGCATTGTTGTGACATCATCAACCTCTCTCCTCCTAGTCCAAATTATTCTGATGTTCTATGGACTTTTATCAGAGGTCACAACAGTTTATTTTTGGAAAAAAAAACTTCCTGGAGTTTGCACAGACTATTGCAGATAAGTATATTAATACAAAATGTGCTAATGTCGTGGTTATTTCATGTCTGTTTTGTAGTATCTGTCCATACAACACAAAGGTTCACAACACTAAACATTTATATCTACATCCCACCATCAAAAAAAGAGAGATAAAAACATTTCAAAACAGCCAATCAAAAGGTTTTCTCCTCTCTATTTATAAATTTACAATACAAACAGAAACTAAAGAATGATTTTAATTACTTTTATTCACAAAACTGTACTTCTACAATTGCACATATTTACAAATTGCATGTCACACTAATCTGCTCTATCCAACAGAACATACACTCACAGATGTCTTACTCACTCACACTTTCAGCAAAAAACATTCTCAAATGACCAGCATCTCACTCTCACAAAATTTCAATCAAATTTCATGTAACAATAAAAATGTGCGCAAAAAATGCAGACATGATTGACCAAAAGTTTCGTAATGCACCAAAATTTTGATATTTTTTTTGTCAGAATTTTTATAAGGACTTGGTACAATCAGCAGTCATGAATCTGTCAGCACTTTCTGTTGAACAATATAAAAACTGCAGGAATCTGTTGTTTTATTAAACAAACATAAGAAGTTCTAGAGTTTGATACTTACTCTGCTATAGTAATGAACATGTAGTATAATTAGCTGACATTTAGATTGTACACTGTCATGCAACCTGTTTCTTACGACTAATTAATATTTTTCTAGTGTCTGGGTCACCGTCACCTGTACTTTCATGTGACCGCTCAATTTGCACATTTTGGAGGGAAATTCTCAAACGGCATAACCAAATTACTGTGATACTTAACAGGTAGTTCTAGCATTCTGTTTAATCATTATCACAATATATCATGTAAACTTGTAGTTCAGGAAAGAAATAAAATCAAAAAAGAAAAAAAAAAGGTATTCATCTAGAAAATTTTAGTAATAGAAGGATTATTTCATTAATGTTCTTTTACTAAACAAAACTTTAGGTAAAACTTAGAACTAACACAAAAAAGTTAAATATCTAATGAAATAAATGCTTTCATGCTTACAGTCCAAAATGATGGATTTTGAAATGTGCCATTCCAGTCGATATTTAATAATATTGTGTGTGTCCTAATAAACAATAAGAAATTATTATTGCTTTAATTAACATCAGAGATCAAGATATAGGTTACCATAACCTACTTCTGGTGAGTGACACTTGGTGTTTCCTATCAATGCAAAATGAACAGAAATAAAGCCACTAGGAAGGTAGGCCTTTATCAATATACCCAGTAACAGTCAGTGAGAATGATGTGACAGTACTGTTCAAGTTGGCAACAAATGCCCAAAGCATTACTGCATTATATATCATTATACACTAAACTGAAGAAGAAAATAATCCCTCACTTACTTCCTCCTTATTGCGGCTACAATCCAAACATTATCAAACTCTGGTGTCCATTGCAAATTATTAAAAGAAAACTCTGGAAAAATACTTCTTATGAAAATTAAAATATTAAGAAAAATAGGGAATACGTCACTGGTCTTCTTATCAAAAATACATGTTTATACAGAAATTTGTTTCTAAAATATTGTGAGACCAGATTCCGTTGTGAAATTTCCAGTGAAAGCTCCTGGCATTTAGGCATGTGAACATTATAGGAAAAGTCTCCTAAAGTAGTAAAAACAACTGAGAAAATTTGGCAATCTCTTCGAGCTACATCACTAGAATTAAAAAGATCATTTCTTGTTAACTGCCTACTCGATCACCAAGCTGACCTGTAGGGTCTTCAGAGAAAAAATATAAACCATGGAAAATACAGAGAGCAGACCATGATTTAATTTACACTATTGGAGGTTCAAAAAATAGCACTTTTAAAGCAGCAATGTCATAGTTTGTCTCTTTACATTACAGATATATGTCTAATGAGAAAAAAAACATGGTTACTAGACAGACATTGTCAACAGTAACAATGCTTGAAGTTATCTTGTGGCAATTAGTTACTATAGTAATTTGTTCCATTGATAAAAATAAGTTGACTGAAAATGTCAACAAGGCTTGAAAATGATGCTGATAACCCTGCAATGTTTACATCAAAATTTTCTTTAGACAGACATATGAATGGCACACAATATCCTCCATCCCAATCCCTCGATTCTTTCATTCAACATACTAAGACACAAAACATTTATTTCTTGGACTAGTTTGCTACACACATACTGGAACATGATAATCAATGCTAATACTAGCAGAAGCATAACTTGTGTATCACCCTTTAATGCCAATTTGCTTCAACACACCATATTGAGTTTTGAACTTTTCCCTTATCTACAACATGTCTATTTATAACAAAATATACATATGAAAACCAAACCAATTCATTTTTTTTTTTTGTTCCTGGATTTTTAGAGAACACATGTATTTAAGTTTTAATTTCATTCTTTCATGTATGAAGTTTTCATGACATGTTCACCAATGAAATGCATTGTAACTTAGTATATAATGAGTAGAAAAAAAAAAAAAAAAAATCAAGAAATCAAACATTTTGAAATAAGGAAAATATACTTTCAAAATAATGCCCAAAAATGATTACCCAGCCTCTTGTCAAATGAAATTCAGCATAAAAGTAAACATTACATATAATTTTTTTTTCATGTCTGATTATTTTCTAACACAATCAATAGACCACGAACTCTATAAATAAAAATTAGACTTGGTCAGGCCTATATATTCAAAGCACTAGCAATGATACATACAGTCATCACAAAAATCACCCCTAATATCAGAAATCTGTGCCCTCCACATTCACTCTTTGGATTCTTTCTCCTCCTTGTTCTTTTTGTGTTTCTTTTTTTTATGTTTATGTTTATGTTTTTTATTCTTTTTGTGTTTACCTTTCTTGTGTTTGTGTTTTTTCGATTTTTTATCACTGTCCTCATCCTCTTCTTCCTCCTCATCCTCCTCATCGTCATCAGCTTCTCCTTCCTCTGCAGAACTTGTTTTAGCTATGTCACCTTCCTCTGCTTCCTCCTCTGCTGAACTTTCCTCATTATAATCAGGCTCAAATGTAGCCTCGTCAATCAATGATTCCTTTCGGTATTTGATTTTAGCCACTTCATCTGGCTTAATTTCTTCTTTCTTAACATCCAGTTTGGGTGTTTTCTCTTTTGAAACCTTCTGACTAGCAGAGGAATTAGACTTAGAACTGACATGTTTCTTACTGTCTGAATCTTTATGAGAGACTTTGTCCTCAATAGAGGAGCGTTCAGTGTCTCTCCTGTCCTCACGGTGCTTGCTACTCTTCCCTCCACCAGATACACTTTCATCCCTATGTGAATCATCCTTGTAGGATCTCATTGTTCCCTCCTTATCTTCCTTAAGTCTGGCTTTCCTATTAGAAAGTTTCTCTCGCAGATCCTCATGGGGTTTTTCTCTCAAGTCCTCAGAACTTGACAATTTTTCTCGTAAATCTTCCGATTCTGAGAACTTGCGTTTGTCCGGTGCAGATATAGTGATCTGCATAGACCTCTGCCTGTTCAAAACTTTTCTGTCATCACGCCGGCTATCGTCATGTTTGCTGTCATCGCGTCGACTGCTGTCCCTCTCCTTACTGCGCGAGGCTCCCTCCTCCCTGTCTCTATCTACAAACACTCGTCGTGAGTTTTTGTTAGGTGGTGATAGCACCACAGCTGATGCAACTGTGCTCTTCACCTGCTTTTGTGAAATGGCCTTTTCAGCACTTTCTATAACTGACCTACAAAAGAAATATCATATGTTAAATCTCAGAAAACGCAAAAGAATTCTGTTACTGTTGGAAATTCCATTCCTATAATTTGATCAATGAAACAAAATTATGAACACTTTTTATTGACAAGTATGAAGTACATTGTACTTTGTAAATGAGCAATGAAAAATTAGATCTATTATATCTGACAACTCAAGTAAGAATTTGATTTGCATAGTCAATGCTCTCTTACTCTATCGAATATAAAATGAAGAAGTCTGTTTCAGTAACTGCATTAGAGACATTATATTAGAAATTAAAATGAAATCAATACAGAAGTAAATTTACCTGGGAAGTGACTGTTTCTCATGTTGATATTTGTGTTTTCTGCGTGGTTCAGGGGAGTGATCACTGGAGAAGTCATCTCTCTCCCACTTAGAGAGTTCTGGGGGTGACAGCATGAGTTCATCATCTCTCGACACCCGCAGTTTACTTTCAACAACTGACTTTGGGCCAGAAAAGTCATCTCGTGACATACGAGACTTGACACTTTCAAGTTTGGATATCTGATGATCTTTACGAGATCCCTGGGATTTCAGTCCTGTTGTTTCATCCAACTGACTGTCCCAAGCCCTTCGAGATTTCTTACTTTCTTTAGGGGATCTTGACCCTTCCTCTCTGGGCACTGACGATTTCCGTTCTGAAGATTTCTCCTGTGAAGTTCGAGATTTCCTACCCTCCAACTTAGATATAAGCCTGTTTTCCTGAACTTGTTTATGTCTCTGTTTTTCAGATCTGCTTGGTTTCTCATAATCCATCTCCTGTTCATAATCCCTCCTTTGCCTCTTGGCTGGGCTCTCATCGTCCTCTGCATCTTCATTGCCGTTTTTCTCTATCTCTGATACTCGTTTTGTTTTCATTTTACGACGGATCTTTTCACTTTCTGGAGCAGAATCGCTTTGCGTAGCATCAGACTCAGAGTTTTTTGCTTTCAATCTTTTTAAAAGAGGCCTTTCCTTTTGAAGTTCATCATGAGCATAAGATTTTTCCTTCTTAACTTGTTTTAGCTGATCTTGATTGCCCGTCTCTTTCTCTTTGAAGTCTTTAAATTTTTCCTTTCTTATCTTTTTCCGCAGTTCATCATCATCCTCATAAAACCTTTCTCTCACTTTTTTTACCTTTTCAGCTGGATTTTCAGCATCTGAATCATCTTTGGGTTCCTGTTTCACCTGTGCCTTTTTAAATGTTTTTTGTGTTGAAACATTTCTCACCTCTTCTTTTACATCCTCGTCATTTTTATCCTTCTGTCTGTCTTTGATTTTTTTCTTTGCAGGCACTTTATTTTCTTTACTAATTGGTGGTTCTTGAGTTGAAGATTTCACTTTTTCCCTATCCTCAATAGTGTCCCTCTGCATTTTTTTCACAGCTGTCTCTCTCTTTTCTATATCAGATTTTTCACTCACTGTGTCAGAATGTTTTTCTCGCTGAGTTTTTTTGTTCAGTTTTTCATCACTCCTTTCTGGCTTTGATTTTTTCACCCCATCTCCGACAGTCTTACCTTGAATGGATTTCTTTGACATTGTTGTTAAGCCTACTCCAGACGATTTTTTCACACCTGTCACCACCTCTATTTTCTGTCCAATCTCCTTTATTTTTTTGGCCTTGACTGGTTTTTCTTTCTTTGGGTCGACACTTTTATTTTTGACTTTTTTATCCTCTTGCTCCTTGTATGTTTTAGATTTGTCTTGAGATTTTTTCTGCTCTTTCTTTTTATCTTCCTTTTCATCTTTATTCTTATTTTCTTGCTTGCTCTCATTCTTGCCAGGTTTATTGAGTGGTTTATTGTTGTCCCATTTTGGTCTATCTAACTGTCCTCTCCCCTGACCCCTACCCCTGGGGGATCTGCCTCTTGATTCCATACGGCCCCTGGGTGACTTTGATCTTGGTCTGTACTGTTGCTTGCCGTAATAGGGAATGTCATACTGCCCTGGCCCTGGGGGTGGGAGTGGTGGTGGGTAGCCATAATAATCTGTGTAGTACTGTTCATAGGCTCTGTGAAAACAAGCAATAGTTCAAATATCATGCTGTCATTTTTAAATGTCCCCTCCCCCTCCATTTCATATTTTTTTTTTATCAAAGGTGAAATTTGGCCACTTATCCCTGTAGTATATACAACTAGTATATCAACACAGTTCCCTTAACATTCTGTAATGGCTGCAGTAATGTTATATACAAAACCTGAATAGATTTTTTAAAACTCTAGTTGTTAATGGTGTTTCAACTTCCATTTACAAAACTGACAATTGAGATACAAGCAGGCCAGAAGCTAGTTAAATCAGTGAAGTAGACAAGTTTAAATTCATCCATACCTGTAATGATCATCTGGCCTCTGACCGTAGTAAGGTGGTGGTGGACCAGGGAATCTTGGTGGAGAGAAAGTTTGTCTTCCCTGGGGTGGAGATCTGTAGCCTTTGGGGGGCGGGGACCAGTTTCCAGGTGGCCGATAATAGTCATCCCTGTAATATGGTGGTGGAGATCGTTGATAGCGAGGGAGTGGTGACCTTGACCTTCTGGGAGGGAGGTAACCTGGAGAGTTACGTCTGTATCTAGGGCTGCGAGATCGTGATCGAGACCAACTGTACCTTGGTAGAGGTGATCTTGAACGTGAACGAGACCTTCGTCTTGGTGTTAGACTTCTTGACCTTGTTCGATATTTTGGAGGTGGTCTTGATCGTGACCTTGACCTACTTCGTGTCCGATATCTAGGTGGGGTCTTGGAACGGTATCTTGACCTAGATCGTGTCCGGGATCTTGTACGGGATCTAAGTCGTCTTGGTTTGGAGATGGAACGTGACCTTGATCGCGATCTTGACCTCAATCTTGATCTGGATCTTGATCTTGAACGAGATCTTGATCGAATACGACGAGGGGCTGGACTGCGTGAATACTTTAGTCGTGAACGGGATCTAGAACGGGTTCTTGATCTAGTTCTAGTGCGTGTTCTGGATCGTGTGCGTCTTCGTAAAGGTGGGGTTCTTGATCTGTACCTCGATCGACTTCGACTTCTGTTTCTTGAGAGTGACCTTCTAGGAGACAGCGATCTGGCAGAAAGATCAAGTGACTTTCATTAATTTTATTTAATAAAAGATATGATAAAGTAAATATAGCCTTCAGTGTACTTAATCCAACGACAATTATAACATGACAAACTAGTTACAATAGAAATATAAATCTTCATAGCTAAACATTTTCTTATTCTCGTCACCATAAAGAAAATTGTAATTTAGAGGATTGTAACACTCAGATGATATGCTTTAAGCCCCTGGGGGTTAGTCAGGGTTAATATATGCATGCCAATCACAGTGTCATCCTATACTTATAATCTAAACAAAGTTAAAAAAAAATTAAATTAACATTCATTTTCAAAAATTGTAAATTTTCTATATAAATAGTAAAATTTATCCTCTCTCTCAGGGAAAATGAGAGACCATGCGGTCACGAAATTCAGTTATGGTAAGCATCTTAAGATCCTTCCCTCCATGAAGGTATTTGATTCAACCATTTTTGGGTATTGAGAAGACTTTTGAAAATTGAGTCAATTTGACCACTTTTAGTCCCATACCTTAGACCCCCAGGTAGAAGGGACCATGAAATTAACAATTTTGGTTCATGTATTAGCCAGGGAAAGTTTCTAGCAATTTTTATTGAAATCATCAGTTCAGGGATTTTGAGAAGAAGTTAAAAAAAAATTAAAAGATGCACAACACCAGACAAAAGGCAGTCACAATAGGTCACCACTGCACTTTGTCTAAAATGACTTTAAAAACTTTTTCTCAATATAAATTATATTTGGTGAAATTTTGAAATACAGAAAGATGAATTTTTTTTGTTACAATTTTAAGAAATTTTTCTAAACAAGATAAATCTTGGAATTGAAAGCAGTCAAAATCAGAAATCAGGAAGGTTTGGCCTCCTTTTACTTTAATATTTTGGACATTTCCTGTCTTATTTTGAATAGACATACCTTGATCGGGAGCGTCGCTTTCTCTGATCGAGTTTATACTCCATCATCTTAAGGCGGTAGTCAACCATGACCTCTGGATTCAAACTGCAACACCAACAACTATCCTTATAGACATTTGTGAAAGACAGAAGCTAAACAACATCAAATACAAAATCTGTCATGCTGAAAATCCTTGATATCAAATGTCACAGTCCAATTTTTTGTCTATAAAAATTAAAACAATCCAATATTGTTGATAACAAGACGACGTTTTTCAAAATAAATTCGTCTCGTGAATATGCAAATATCTTTAACAATTTTGAGAAATGAAAGATCAGTCAATATTAGAAATAACCCCTGTAATTCGAGCTAGAGAAGTTTGTAAACATGTTCATCAGACCACTTACAGGCAGCAACCCTCACTGTGTAGCCCTAGTTACAATACCATGTGTAACCAATGACAAGGAGATTACAAGTTTGCTGATGAGATAACAAAACACAGATATTTATGTATCTGTAATCTGTTTAACATGTAAACAAAAATTTTAATATTTGGTCAGTAATATAGAGATGGAATACAGCTTTAAGAATTTTACACTGTGACTTACTCGTCTCTCAACATTTCCTGTTTGGTTCTGTAAAATTCCTCTTTGGTCATTGGCTGTGGACCTCCCATAGGTAAAGGGTATGGAACTCTAGGGGGTGGAAATGGCAGTGGTGCACCCCCTGGTACCCCAGGGTGAGGAGGAAATGGCATTCCTCCAGGCATGGGTAAACGTGGTGGAGGTAAGGCTGTATTTAGTACTGGCACTGAAATGAAAACGAAATGCACTTTTCATTTTGTCTCCCTTAATCATGATAAAACCATAACACACTTCATTTATGAAATATTCTGCCAGACAGTGAGTGTAAACTGAAAGAAACATGAAGAGAAAAAGCAAACAAACAAAATTTCATTTTTGCAATTTCATATTTCCTTCATAACTCACCTGTTGAAGGTGTAACACCTGGAGGTGGGAAAGCTGGAGGATGTCTGACAGGTCCATTTTGCATGGCAGGATGTCTGAAGCTAGGAGCTGTCGGAATACTCGGGTGAAGCCCGCCTTCTGATTCCTGTAGGGGTCTATCAATATCAAAGAATTATGACCTCAGTCAAAAAAACTTGACAATCTGAAGGAGTTGAATATTTTCTGAATTGCTTTAAATCATTTCTATGTCTTAGAGATCAACCCAGAACTCGGATTTAAAATGCCAGTTGGCTGTAGATGCTCTTTAAAAATGTTAATATTTAACTTTGCCAAATTGTGGATATGGGAACAGAATAATCTAATTATATGTCATGATGAAATGTTTTAGGATTTGCATTTACTTTATTTTGTTTCCAGTATAAACATATTAAATTAATTGTTAAGAATTTTTTTTCTAAATTTCATTGTGATTTATTGATAGTGCAATAATGAAATACTTACCCTTTGTTATGAGGGGATGCTCCAGAGGCATGTACAGCTGAAATGCAATTAGAAACTTTAATATTTAATGTTTTCCTCGCTTTTTTTCTAATGGGAGACATATTTACCTCCCTTGGACCATAAGAGACTTCCTAATTAAATCATTAGGTCATGAAAACATGGATTTTTTTTAACAAACATTTATTCTTGAAACTGAATTCAATGTATACACTTATTACAAATGTTGCCGATTCCTATCAGATTACAGAATTACCTCCCCTTAACAAGGAGTAAAACTTCATTGTGGTTGTAGCCCTCCATTGTATCCCCTTATCCAAGATGTGTCTACCTGATTGTCTCTCTTCATCACAGTACTGACTTCCTGATGGCTTTAATTATCAGAAGACTAATTGCCTTAACCAAGATATCCAAGACTAAATACTCACATATGGGTTCAGTAGCTGGTGGTGGAGTGTTTCGGTTTGGCTTACTCGGAACCTTTTGTCCAATCACAGGCACAGTCTAAAGTGAGAAACAAAAATTAAAGAAGGCTCCTAGAGTTACTATTAAACTTAAATCAATGAAGACAAATTTTCCAATCCTCAAAATGTTTTTACCACCCTGCAAAAAGAAATCTTGATAGTCAACTATGATTTTGTAAAGTAAGGTATTTAAAGCATATGGTGATAATTCAGTTAATACAAACTAAATAATCATCATTTTCAGTGAAAAAATATTTTTGCTATATTTATAATTCATATCTTCTACTTAAAGAATGAGGTATATAACTTATATCTTAAAAGTAATTACTGACCTTGGGCTGCTCATCAACTGGCCAATGTGGTTCTCTCTCATCCTTGACTGGTGTTGATGTTGTTGGAGTGACAGGCTTACTACAACACAAAAATCACACATCTGATGGTAAACATTACATGTAATAATAAAAGTATATCTATTTAATCATTTCTTTATTTATTTATTCAGTTATTTTACAACAATAAAAAATAAAGTTATTTCAACTTATATTTATCACTCTTTTAGACCTGGATGAAATAGGCAAAAGGTCTAACACTAGGAAGAAAATCTATGCAGGGAAAACCCCAATGGTTGGGCAGATGTAGAAGAATACCCTTGCGTGCCATCATAAAAGGTTGAGTTAACAATCCTTTCCGATCTTTCAGATCTTGTTTAGTTCAAAATCAGATCTATAACAAATATAAAAATTCCTATTTGGCCTGACAAAGGTGCACTAAATGATGATTTCAAATACTTTGTACTGGGAATTTTTTCATAGTTTTCACTGCGGCATCAAATGAATATTCTTCACTATGCAATATGTTTTCATAAATGTGACCCAACTGAAATATTTCTGAAACTTCTTTATTTCTGAAAGTGTTGTACATTTTCTTCCTGAATAAATGATGACTTACCTGGAGTTAATGGTAACCTCTGGTACTGATGATGTTTTCACACTGATACGAGCAGTGGTCGTTGTTCGGGGTGGAGGTGGAGGAGGTGGAGAGTCCATCCTTGACCTTGGTTTGGTTGCTTGTTGCTCCTCTTGCCTCTTCTTTTGGAGTTGTTGTTGCTTAGCTTGTTCTTGAAGATGATGTTCTCGTTGTTGTTGTTGCTTCATCTGTTCCATTTTAGCTTCCATGTGTCTCCTTTTCACAGTTGTGTATCCTGTCTCATTCAGGAAATTAGTGACGGCCGTCCGCAGGGAATTATTAGCAATGAGCCTATCTGGTGACGAGTCCATCTCATGGCAAGATGGACAGCAGTGATTGTCATCCTCAAGCAGGGCATCACGGATACCTGGACAAGCATTTCACATTACAATCAGTACATCTTTACAACATTTTCAAAACTCAGAAAAACAGTTTTCAGTCATTGTTTGTTTTCAAGATAAACATCTTCTCAAAATATATCTATACCTAAATGATGAATCTTATCCCCAGCAGTACAGTGACACAGTGTAGTTTTTAACAGGTTGTGTTCTATAGATATCAATTCTTACTATTAGATATTTGTGTACTGTGTTTGTAAAAAATAGGTCATGCCTCAGTAATTATAGGACTTATTCTAATCTATTAACCAGGGTAAGAATAGGACTTATTCTATTCTATTAACCAGGGTAAGAATAGGACTTATTCTAATCTATTAACCAGGGTAAGAATAGGAGTTATTCTATTCTATTAACCAGGGTAAGAATAGGAGTTAATTCTATTCTATTAACCAGGTTAAGAATAGGACTTATTCTATTCTATTAACCAGGGTAAGAATAGGACTTATTCTAATCTATTAACCAGGGTAAGAATAGGACTTATTCTATTCTATTAACCAGGGTAAGAATAGGAGTTAATTCTATTCTATTAACCAGGTTAAGAATAGGACTTATTATAATATATTAACCTGGGTAGGAATAGGACTTCATTCTATTCTATTAACCAGGGTAAGTATATGACTTATTCTATTCTATTAACCATGGTAAGTATAGGACTTATTCTAATATATTAACCTGGGTAGGAATAGGACTTAATTCTATTCTATTAACCAGGGTAAGTATATGACTTATTCTATTCTATTAACCATGGTAAGTATAGGACTTATTTTAATCTTATCAACATCTTATTGGCAATATTATAATTGTTTATTTTGTGGAAGTACTCCTACACAAAACATGATAATGAGGCTGAGTATAAATAGAAAAGGTCATAATTCACCAATATCCAACTTACATTCATCACAATAGCTGTTTCCACAGCAGGGAATCACCACAGCTTCCCTTAAAAGGTCACGACATAGAGGGCAAATGAGCTCGTTAGGTACAGGAGAGACTTCCTGTTTTTCAACTGATGGGGTTGGCATGAATGGTGGTCTTTCCTTCTTCCCCTTTTGGAAAGCCTCCCTGTCAAGGATGGAAAACACATAAGATCACATCAGCATATGTATCCAGATGGCAACACCAAGCCTGAATTTGGTTCCAACATCCCTCCCATAATTTCAGTTCTGATTTTATTTCAAAATACCTTAAATAATGAAGCTAATCATCAAGGAATACAGTTTAAAAGATTTTTGCATCACATGAAGTTTTTATCACATATCATAAACAAACAATCCCAGTAGTGTAACAAATAGGCCTAATTGTTGTCTAAGATATATTCTTCAATCCTAGGATAGAGAGAGATGCAGGAGAACAAAAGTCTTAAATCATGAGAAAGAGAGTGACTTACTTGTCAATAATCGGGACGGCATACTGTCCTGATGACATAAGGAGAGCCCCAGGAGAATTCTTGTCATCACAAGGGGTAAGAAAACTTGTAGGAATCCCTGTGGAGCGTTTGACTCTATTTGGGTTGACAACTTCCTGTTGTTTACCAGTGATGTCATCCAGATCATTTTCCTATTAACAGTCAAAAACGTAACTTTGCAATACACCCAATCATTTTTTTTATAATTTCTTTACCATCAAGTTTTTTTAAACTTCAAAACATATATTTCATTCTTTTTAAAGAACAGTGGAGAAGCTGTATAGTTGTTAAATTTTGAAGTGTTAATATTTCACAGTTGTCCTTGTAAGTTTGAGAGGATGTTATCTTATATGTAGACCAATGTGTAAGTCTACATGTTGGTATCTGTGTATTAGGACATGACATAAAGTTCCTTATATTTTGTTAAAATGTTTGCTAGCTATTTATTTTTGAAGCTATCATCTTTGAGGACTGGAAAAACAGGGAAATCAATTCCCCTTAACATATACCAACTGTACAGTACATACTTCTAGGACGCTCTGGAACTTACCGGTTTGTTTGGACAGTTATGTATATAGTGTCCAGGCTTGCCACACTTGAAGCAGAGGTAGGAAGTGGACGGCTTTCCAGCAGGATACTTGGACTTCATATAGCTGGGTAAGTAGACACATTAAATCATCAAAGCTTTATAATGTTTATTTCTGTTTTAAAGAAATGGCAGCAATGGTGATGATGTTGGCTGAGATTTTTTAGATATTTCTTTATTGGGTTCTTGTTCAATATCACAATATAAAAATTTTGAATAATTTAAGAAGTTTTCAAATTGGATATATGTTGCTTCAATTTAATATATTCTTTAATAATATTGAATTACAATGTAAAGATATATTGTGTGTATTAACAAAATCAATATGAGAAGACATTTGAGAAGCATCATACAGTTCAATCTCATTTTTAATTCTATTATACTGACTTTGCTGGATCGAAGTCTTTACTAGCTTGGTACATCATTGCTTTTATCTTATCTTCCTCTGAGATATTAGCGTTGACCAGGTCTACAGTCTGAAGAGTAAAAATTAAAACCATTTGTATATCTGTGTAATAGAAATGTCTACAAGACATGAATGCTCCTACTCCTATGTAAACAAGAACGTAATGACAGGGTAGAACTTGATGTTATGATACTGCGGTATGAACTAAATCTGTTGAGAGGTTCTCAATCTATGACATTTGTATCTATGAAAGCAATTATCTCCCTAAATCAGTCATCCCTTACCCGATTCCTTCCTCCCCCTAAATTAGTCATCCCTTACCCCATTCCTTCCTTACCCTTAATCTGTCACCCCTTACCCCATCCCTTCCTTACCCTAAATCAGTCACCTCTTAACCCCATCATTTCCTTACCTGAAATCCGTCATCCCTTACCCAACCCCTTCCTTCTCCTAAATCTGTCACCCCTTACCCCATCACTTCCTTACCCTATATCTGTCATCCTTTACCCTATCCCTTCCTCACCCTAAATCTGTCATCCTTTACCCCACCCCTTCCTTACTCTAAATGCGTCATTCCTTACCCCAACCCTACCTTACCCTATATCTGTCATCCCTTACCCCATCCCTACCTTACCGTAAATTAGTTATCCCTTACCCAACCCCTTCCTTACCCTAAATCTGTCATCCCTTACCCCACCTCTTCCTTACCATAAATCTGTCATCCCTTACCCCACCCCTTCCTTACCATAAATCCGTTATTTCTTACCTCATTCCTTCCTTACCCTAAATCTGTCATCCCTTACCCCACTCCTTCCTCACCCTAAATCTGTCATCCCTTACCCCACCCCTTCCTTACCATAAATCCATAATTTCTTACCTCATTCCTTCCTTACCCTAAATCTGTCATCCCTTACCCCACCCCTTCCTTACCATAAATCCGTCATTTCTTACCTCATTCCTTCCTTACCCTAAATCTGTCATCCCTTACCCCACTCCTTCCTCACCCTAAATCTGTCATCCCTTACCCCACCCCTTCCTTACCATAAATCCGTCATTTCTTACCTCATTCCTTCCTCACCCTAAATCTGTCATCCCTTACCCCACCCCTTCCTTACCATAAACCCGTCATTTCTTACCTCATTCCTTCCTTACCCTAAATCTGTCATCCCTTACTCCACCCCTTCCTTACCCTATAGCTGTCATCCCTTACCCCATCCCTTCCTCACCCTAAATCTGTCATCCCTTATCCCATCCCACCCCTTCCTTACTCTAAATCTGTCATCCCTTACCCCATCCCTTCCTTACCCTATATCTGTCATCCCTTACCCTATCCCTTCCTTACCCTAAATCTGTCATCCCTTACCCCCATCCCTTCCTTCTTCTATATCTGTCATGCCTTAGCCCCATTCCTTCCTTACCCTAAATCTGTCACCCCTTTGGCCCCATTCCTTCCTTCTCCTAAATCCGTCATCCCTTACCCCACCCCTTCCTTACCCTAAATCTGTCATTCCTTACCCCACCCATTTCTTACTCTATATCTGTCATCCTTTACCCTATCCCTTCCTCACCTTAAATCTGTCATCCCTTACCCCATCCCTTCCTTCTTCTATATCTGTAACCCCTTACCCTATATCTGTCATCCCTTGGCCCATTCCTTCCTTCTCCTAAATCTGGCATCCCTTACCCCATCCCTTCCTTACCCTAAATCTGTCATCTCTTACCTCATCCCTTCCTTCTCCTAAATCTGTCATCCCTTACCCCATCCCTTCCTTCTTCTATATCTGTAACCCCTTACCCTATATCTGTCATCCCTTGGCCCATTCCTTCCTTCTCCTAAATCTGGCATCCCTTAGCCCCATTCTTTTCTTACCCTTAATCTGTCCCTTACCCCATCCCTTCCTTCTTCTAAATCTGTCATCCCTTACCCCATCCCTTCCTTACCCTAAATCTGACATCCCTTACCTCATCCCTACCTTACCCTAAATCTGTCATCCCTTACCCCACTCCTTCCTCACCCTAAATCTGTCATCCCTTACCCCACCCCTTCCTTACCATAAATCCGTCATTTCTTACCTCATTCCTTCCTTACCCTAAATCTGTCATCCCTTACCCCACCTCTTCCTTACCATAAATCCGTCATTTCTTACCTCATTCCTTCCTTACTCTAAATCTGTCATCCCTTACCCCACTCTTTCCTCACCCTAAATCTGTCATCCCTTACCCCACCCCTTCCTTACCATAAATCCGTCATTTCTTACCTCATTCCTTCCTTACCCTAAATCTGTCATCCCTTAGCCCCATTCTTTCCTTACCCTAAATCTGTCATCCCTTACCCCCATCCCTTCCTTCTTCTATATCTGTCATGCCTTAGCCCCATTCCTTCCTTACCCTAAATCTGTCATTCCTTACCCCATCCATTTCTTACTCTATATCTGTCATCCTTTACCCTATCCCTTCCTCACCTTAAATCTGTCATCCCTTACCCCATCCCTTCCTTCTTCTATATCTGTAACCCCTTACCCTATATCTGTCATCCCTTGGCCCATCCCTTCCTTCTTCTAAATCTGTCATCCCTTACCCCATCCCTTCCTTACCCTAAATCTGTCATCTCTTACCTCATCCCTTCCTTCTCCTAAATCTGTCATCCCTTACCCCATCCCTTCCTTCTTCTATATCTGTCACCCCTTAGCCCCATTCCTTCCTTACCATAAATCCGTCATCCCTTACCCCATCCCTTCCTTCCCTCCTCCTTCCTTCTTTCCTTCCTTCCTTTCTCTATATCAGTCATCCACTGATCCATTGACAGTTCTGATGGTTGTGAATTTAACTTACCATAAATTGGTAAAAGGATGATATAACAAAACTTGGAAATTAAGAACCTTATTTCCTTAAAGCTCAAATTCTCCTTTGTTCTCTTTGCTTTATTTTATAATAACATTGTTCAATCATAATCCAAGTTTAGTTTATGTGTAACACAACTGCTTGGTAAACTTATGTCAAACAAACCTCGTTTTTCCATTCTTGGGCTCCAACTTCTGGCATTGGTGCGACTGGTTTCTGTGTGGTAAAAGAACAAAGAGATTACAAAAAACACGATCAACTGATTCCGTTCCAAAAACTGATTTTTTCCAATCTGTTTGATGTCTATTTTAGCAACATGACAAAATTGATATATTTTGTTTTGTTTTGTTTATGCTGACCCTTGAACAATGGCAGTGTTCAAGATGGATAAGTCAAAAGTAAATAAAATGACATTTCAAACAAGAGTAGAGGTACAAAACAATTAATGATAGTAAAATGCTGAAGTGTAATACATTTTTATTCCCAAATGATAAAGAAAATTAAGGGAAATGTCCACTTTTGCAGCTACAAAATTCTGTGAATCACCATATCATTTGCACTTAATAGTTCTCAGAAAATGCAGATTTAATTTAGTCCTGTAAATGTGCTCAAGCTTATGAATGCTCCGATGCTATCGCATGAAAATAGAAGTATAATTCCTTCTCTGTCTTTTTCAGTTGACTAAATCATTTTTTAATAAATTCTTCATAAAATTATTGATATAATTTCTTTAGTTAAACATCAGATAGATAAATTCTAAAACTGAAACACTATTATTTAAATCATGGTACACATTCATATGGCCACCATCTACATGCAGCCATATGTGATCTTTTTTTTAGCTGAAAAATATCTTTTTGTTATTTTTTCCGTCGATTTTCAGAGGAATCCACAGTAAGATTGATTACTTGTTGAACTGAAAATGCTTGGCACCATAACTGACGATATATGGTTGATAGTCCAATGACCCTAACTCATGCCGTCAGGAATCCAACTGGAGACTCCACATGATGTCATCACCTTCCCATCAAGTACACTCATACTCAAGTTCCATCAGCTTATCACTGTGTTTAGTGCCTCTCATGATTTCTTCTATTAGATACAGTGAAGCTTGACTTTATAGACACTTGTGGCTGAAGACTATATCATAGCCAATCTTCAATGAGATGACTGAGTTATTTTCTCTGCAAGAAATTCTCACTCTTTGCTTTAATGAAGCCAGATTTCACCATATTCAAATATAGGTTACCATAGGTTCAATGCAATTTTTCTGTTGAAAAAATGCATGGTAATTCTTCTGGATTACTTAAATTGGTAGATTACCACACATACAACATCTGTGAAGTAATTTATGGTATAAGCGATGAATAAATCAACTTTATTCATTTTTTATCAATTGCGAAACAAGTTTTTCCAGCTTATATCAATCACTCTTGATGACCTTGATAGAAGCATGCAAGGTTCTTACTCTGGGAAGAAACCGCAGTATCTTAGCAAAAACCCACATGGTCTGGCAGTACCCCTTCTTAACATATCAATGTCACATGATCCAGGCATGGATATAGTAAACAGAAAAATATTGACCTCCTTAAAAGGCGTTGTCAAAGTAACTGATCATTACCTGATTGAAAAGATAATTAAATGTAGTTTCTTCAATATCAATCAAGCTTACTGAAAAGAGTTTAATTTAATGTAAGCTAATATTCCACCGTAGAAAACTCACAGGTCATTCAAATAACATCCAAAATGTCGTCAAATTAATGAAGTAAACAAGCACAGGTAACACCCCCCACAACACATTGATAAAACTAGTTATAACTAGGAATTGTTTTATGAGTTTATTTCTGCTTCCATTTCCAATGTGCCCATGTTTGAGGAAATCTTCAGTATCAAAATGTACATACAATGTACTAGTTTATTTAGGGGAGATAATCTAAAAGTCTCTGAAATTGATACCATATTTTACCCGACAAGTGCACCTACCCCTATATTGGTCTCAAATATATTTTCCGTGAATGAATAATATTGCATCTGATCAAGTCACTGTGAATTTTGAGTAGCTTATCAAAACTGTAACGTTATATTTGCCATTCAAATTCCAGCTGATATTCGCTAATATCACCGACCGATTACCAAGTATTTACCAAGCATCCATACAAGTGAAGTGAAACTCTATAACTAGAAAATGTTTGCAAACACAAACAAATATTATTATCAAAATAAAGAATGGAGCTTAACACAAAGTTTAATAACAAAACAAAGTTATAACAAAAGAAAAACTTGTGCCAAAATGGTCACCATCCTAAAGAAAATATTTACCCAGAAACAAAAAACAAATTTGAAGTCTTGGTAGACAGAAGAATGAACAGTTATGCTAGAATATGCTCCTGACAACTTCATGGTGAGGCAACCATGACTTGTGTTTTTAAGTCTTTAACTATCTCAAGATTATTGATGATATCAGAAAGATGTGTGAGAATACTTACTTCTAAATCTTAGAAAAAACATTAAATCAAGGTCATCTGCTTTTACAGTTGACACTTTGTGGCACTTAGTGCATTAAATTAATAGTCAAAATATCATAACATCCCCTGAAAAATATCTTAAACTTTACATAACATACTTGACTGCCTGGATTTTTCAATTTGCGCAGAAGACTTTTTAAAGGATTATTTCATGCTAGAGTCATATGACATGGATAAGTTCAAGAAATTTCTTTTCGAACATTTTTTAGCTGAAAATATTAATGTAAGTGATCTTTTTCATCTTAGAAAAAAAAACTGCACGGTGGTCAAGTTACTCTTGAAGCAAGAGTTTCAGTAGCACTTCAATCCTCTGGAGACAAAATATCCTAAGTTTAGTACAGTCTTTTTTCCAAACGAACCTGTGAAATTTAGTGATCAAGGCTGTTATATCTAAACTACAAGCTTTATTTTATGAATGTACTATATAGCTAATCAATTATCATGAACCTATATGATCCTAGTAAATTGATTCAAGTAAAATCTTACATCAATTCTAAAGGTAAGATAAGGTGAGCTTATATTTTTCTGTTTTCAATTTCAAAACACAATGTCATCATTTTTTCAGAGTGCCCTTGTTATATCAAAAGATACAATGTCAATAAAATTCACATTGTAACTATACCTCTAATCAGAATATAGAGTTTTTGTCCACTATAGCTAAGTTAGAAGAACTTTGGCCAAAAGCGACCTCTGATGAAGGTGAGAGTTAAATAGTTTGTATATGACCGGTAACAACTCTAATATCAAACAGCAATAATACAGGATTAAAACAAAATTCTATCTCCATGATTTCAATAATTTTAACAAATTATCAGCAAGTTTAGAAATGTTCAATATATGTAAAAATTTTGTCAGTTTTTTTTATTCTCTCTAGTAGAGTTGTCTATGACTCATTTTTTCCAGTATACAGTAATATCTTGTGATAACTTCTACATTTTGTATTTAAGTTCAACATATTAAACCATGACGTTCTGATAGCATTTCATTCTTTGATCATATATTTTTTCGTTAGACAAGCAACCCATCTTAATTTTCAATTTATATGGTTTGGTGCAGAACAAACATGATGTTCGAGTTGACTTTACCTCTGACTTATCAGCTTTAATAATTACTATATTCAGAGTACTTCATTGTTGCAAGGAACAGACAAACCACTCTAGAAATCATTAACATAGAGATCTAACCAACGAAGACCAACATGTGATAAATAAAGGGCCATAAGAGGGCCAAGGACAGGATTTAAACATAGGGGAACATCCTTAGAGGTGCTTGCCCTGTGAAGACCAACATGTGGTAAATAAAGGGCCATAAGAGGGCCAAGGACAGGATTTAAACATAGGGGAACATCCTTAGAGGTGCTTGCCCTGTGAAGACCAACATGTGGTAAATAAAGGGCCAAAAGAGGGCCAAGGACAGGATTTAAACATGCTGGAACATCCTTAGAGGTGCTTGCCCTGTGAAGACCAACATGTGGTAAATAAAGGGCCATAAGAGGGCCAAGGACAGGATTTAAACATAGGGGAACATCCTTAGAGGTGCTTGCCCTGTGAAGACCAACATGTGGTAAATAAAGGGCCATAAGAGGGCCAAGGACAGGATTTAAACATAGGGGAACATTCTTAGAGGTGGTTACCCTGTGAAGACGAACATGTGATAAATAAAGGGCCAAAAGAGGGCTAAGGACAGGATTTAAACATGCTGGAACATTCTTAGAGGTGGTTACCCTGTGAAGACCAACATGTGGTAAATAAAGGGCCATAAGAGGGCCAAGGACAGGATTTAAACATAGGGGAACATCCTTAGAGGTGCTTACCCTGTGAAGACCAACATGTGGTAAATAAAGGGCCAAAAGAGGGCCAAGGACAGGATTTAAATATAGGGGAACATCCTTAGAGGTGCTTACCCTGTGAAGACCAACATGTGATAAATAAAGGGCCAAAAGAGGGCCAAGGACAGGATTTAAACATGCTGGAACATCCTTAGAGGTGCTTACCCTGTGAAGACCAACATGTGATAAATAAAGGGCCATAAGAGGGCCAAGGACAGGATGTGAAGTTAAGACCAACATGTGGTAAATAAAGGGCCATAAGAGGGCCAAGGACAGGATTTAAACATGCTGGAACATCCTTAGAGGTGCTTACCCTGTGAAGACCAACATGTGATAAATAAAGGGCCATAAGAGGGCCAAGGACAGGATTTAAACATGCTGGAACATCCTTAGAGGTGCTTACCCTGTGAAGACCAACATGTGGTAAATAAAGGGCCATAAGAGGGCCAAGGACAGGATTTAAACATGCTGGAACATCCTTAGAGGTGCTTACCCTGTGAAGACCAACATGTGGTAAATAAAGGGCCATACAGGATTTAAACATGCTGTCCTTAGGTGCTTGAAGACCAACATGTGGTAAATAAAGGGCCATAAGAGGGCCAAGGACAAGATTTAAATATAGGGGAACATCCTTAGAGGTGCTTGCCCTGTGAAGACCAACATGTGGTAAATAAAGGGCCAAAAGAGGGCTAAGGACAGGATTTAAACATGCTGGAACATCCTTAAAGGTGCTTACCCTGTGAAGACCAACATGTGGTAAATAAAGGGCCATAAGAGGGCCAAGGACAAGATTTAAACATAGGGGAACATCCTTAGAGGTGCTTGCCCTGTGAAGACCAACATGTGGTAAATAAAGGGCCATA